CCGTATAAGTAATCTCGTAAGTGTGTTGGAGCTGCCACTATGGCTAATTGCTCTTGTTTAAGAGTTGGATAATTCAACTGTGAAGCATTCATTGCTCGACTAAAGAATTGTATATATCTAGGTTTGTCCTCTATAACCTGATATAACACTCCTCCTAAGGCTAAGTCGGAGGCGTCCGTTGCTATTTCAAACGGCACGCCATCGACTGGCCCTTGTACAACTGGGGCTTGCTGGACTGCGTGTTTGAGCGCTTTAAATGCGTCATCACACTCTTTAGTCCACAAGTCTCCTAGTTTGCCTTTATGACATCTTAAGTGTCCAAAAGGTTTAAGGTAATCAGCCAAGTGTGGTACTCCATCTGAAAAGAAGTTTACAAACCCACACATGCTGTTAACTATCTACCTGTAGTTGGTGTTCGCCAATCTATCAGGTGTTCTACCTTACCGGGGTCGATTTTAATACCTTCCCCAGATATTCGGTAGCCTAAGAGCTGTATTTCGCTCATGGCGAAGTGGCATTTCTTCTCGTTATTCTTGAAGTTTTGCTTGTTGAGTCTTATAAGGACTCGTCTGACTAATGCGGCGTGTTCGCTCTTAGTGTCATCTATATAGACTTGCACGTTAGGCATGTCTGCAAACATTTCTTCCATTACTTGTTAGAAGAATGCTGGTAAAGAGTGTAACCCGAAAGGTGCACCTCTGAACCTGTATTGTTTACCTTTCCACGTAAAACTAAAGTATTTACGGTGTGGTTCATATACCTGCATTTGATGGTATCCTTGTGTAAGGTCTATAGTTGTAAATACTGTAGCACCTTCCATCCTTCGCAGTAGCTCGTTAATTCGAGGTAAGTGAAAGCTATGAGTCGGCAATAATTTATTTATTGGACTCATATCTAAACATACTCTGACTTTCTTAAACGAACCGTCAGAGTTATGTTGGTCTACGGCTAGCAGTGCCAAGTTAACTGGCGTCCGTTGATAGTTAATTTCTATCACTCCATCTGCTAGCCATTTCTCAACTTGTTCTTTCACCACAGCCTCGTGTCTCCAGGACACATAGTTCCTTGAGGGACACTTTAATTGTGTAAAGTCTACCTTGGTTAAGTCAAGGCTGACATATCCGTCGTTAAAACGGAATTTCTGTCCAATCTGTGATCTTTATCTTCTTATTAACTAGATTCAGATCCATGATTTTGTTCGCAAAGTTAGCTATTAATACCTTGACTGTGTGTGACGGAGGCTTATATGGATTCAGACAGTTATCGTCTGATTGATCCTTTAATGGATCTATATTATTTGGTAGACCAGTTACGGTTATACCTAGAGTGAGTAAATCGCTCATTCCGACTATAATGTCGTACTTCTGTGACATCTTAACTATCACAGCTTGGGTAGTGATATTCCTATCATCGGCCAGAGAGATTTTAACATCTGTGGCCATGGTATCGCACTTAGCAGTTTTATCATCAGCCAAAATGAGGTGAGTTGTTTGTGTTCTACTTTCGATATCTTTCTTTAATGCAAAGCGATCGGATATACATGAAATTTTTAAACCAGGATCAACCAACGCAAGGAATTTATTTCCATTGCAGTATACAGGGATTATTACACGCTCATCTAAAGAGTCGTTGTATTGTCTGTGAAACGATTGTACCTGGTAGTACCTTCACTCCAACTTAATGTTGGGCTTTTGTCACAAGACTTAGTGTGATAGCCATTGGTCTTCTCACACTTGTCGCACTTAATAAGAAAGTGTGTACAGGCGGATGCATGTCTGCCATTCCAATAACCGTTAGGGGTTAATTGGTACATGCCATACCCACACTGTGCGTCGGCACATTTCTTAATCTCCTTAAATGGAGGTTCCATGTCCCTCGCCCCCGCACGTGCCCGTTTATTGGGTCGTGTGGATAGAGTGGAGTCGCGACCACGTGTATGTTGGGGTCTCTCGTTTGAGGTCTGCTTGGATACGTACCCGTGATCGGTGTGCTCCCGCGGCTTCTTAACAGCCGCTTTTCCCTTCGATGTTACTCGATGTGCGGGGAAAAGGGTGGATACAGTATCATAAAACTGTTCCCACGTAAGTCGGGATAGATGAAACTTTGTTTCATGTCCCTTGTCTCAAGCCTCAGTCGCGTGTTTACGTCGCAACTCGGTGTACAGGCTCTCACGGTCGTTATTCTCTATGTTCTTACAGAACACGTGCATAACCAGGAACTCGTACCATCGCTGTGCCTTGTCCTTTGTTGTATCTGGAGGTTTCAGATCAGCATCTAGCTTCAGGATATAACTCTGAATGGGCGTGTTCTCAGCTGGTTCAGTTAAGATTGAACTCAGTCCTGGGCTACGCATGTCCTTACTTAACAAGGATGTAACCAACTAACACACAGGTAGCCAGTCACGGCAAGTGTCTAGCTCATTCTGTTGTCGCTGCAGGATCAAATAACTTGTACCTGTAGGGTTAAACGTCTGCATTAAGGCAGAAATCCATTGCGGGGGAGCGATATCATTCGTCTCCAGCATGACCGTAAACGCGTTTAGCGTGCGGGGTAGCGTGTCTAGGCCGTGGTTGTTTATGAACTCGACCTGTTTGCTGTTGGCATCCCAGTTCGACTTAAGTCGACTGATTTGTCCCTTGTACTTCTGGTTGTCCCTGTGGTCTTGTCCACGTTGGGCCTGAAGTAACTGATCAATGCGCTTTTGCTTAGTCGCAATCATATTTGCAAAGTAAACTACATCATCAGCATGATGCGCATCGTGGGAGATTTCCATTTTAATGGTATAATCGTCGACCGATTTGTTAAGTTCGGTCACCTCGTCAAGAGTGAAAATCCTCTGCGGGTTGATGTAGTGCTGTGCGATCGAAGCGATTAAATTCAACTTCGTTAACACGTTTACGGGGGTGTTTATTACCCCTTGTAAAATCCATGGTCGAGGCCTTTCGGTGCTCTGTTCCTCGGATAGTGGTTGGTTTTTTAATCTTGGGTGATTCATGCGTCTGGATAACATACCCAGTCTTAACTGGTTTCCGACGATTGTCATCCCAATTGGGTAAAAGTGGCGGAGTATTTCTACCTGTCTCTGGGTCTATAATACCCTCAAGGACGGGTGACTCACGGCCGGGTGTCAGAACAGGCGAGTAATCAGCCTGAAGTTCTGGTGGTAGTACCTCGTACGGTATAGATACCCTGAGCACATCTGGATCATATGCCTCAGGTGTAGCGCTCGAGTCTTTACGTTCTTCGGGCGAAATTGCCTGTCGACGGCCCTCGGGCTCTGTTAGTGGGAGTAGTCTCTTTAAGCGAAGTGGCTACATCCTTATCTGAAGCATTGTCCTTTTGACTATTATTGTCAGAGGCAAGTACTTCGGCTACAGTGCGGTTAAACGCGTCAGCAGCGGCGGCGGTTGCTTCTGCAGTAGCGGTAGCTGCGGCAGCGCTAGCAGCTTCTCTCTCCATCTTCTTCTTTTTAGCTCTACGCTTCTTAGAAGGGGTATTGTCTTTCTTGGTTATATTCTTAACTTATGACTACTAGCTTGTCTCTTAAGGACTAGCTTGGACAAGAAAATTTTTGTGGTAGTTAATCTACCTTTACGCTTAAGTAGTCTAAGTAATTAATACCTTTGTGTGTTTACACTTAAGAGTATTCTGTATTGGTGTTTGTAAATATAACCGCCAGCACAGAAAGCTGCGGGTGTGAAATACAGATATACGCGTGTCACGAACAGACAATTAGATAGACGGCATGTTATCGATCATATAGGATACTTACATATACCCACTATATATAAATTTTCAACTGAAAACAGTAGCACATACAATTATTATTATATTATTTAATAGAATACGTTTATCTTGATTTAGTTATTATAGAAGAGGCAATGTACATAAAACACACACACTAGCTGACACACCGCTGGTAGACATATACAAACCATCAGGCAGGCAAGGGCATGGCAAAATTATGTTATTATAACATAATGCTATGCTGCATGGTAAACCAAATTACAATAGAATAACGACTAGGACGTTCACGTCACTACTTACTGTAGAAAAATACTACACGACATTACAAAGAGAATTGACAGGCACAAGTATAAGACGCTATGCGTCGAACATACAATCAACTGTACTAGGCCAGTACTATTGGCCAGCGTGGAAGGTTCAGAGAAACCCGCCCAGGAGTGGTGATCCCAGCGTAGCAGGTTCAGAGAAATTTACCCAGGAGTGGATCGTAATGTCTTAGTTACTCGACACAAGCGCTACTAGGCCAGTACTATTGCCTAGTGCGAAAGGTTCAGAGAAACCTACCCAGGAGTGGTGATCCCAGCGTAGAAGGTTCAGAGAAATCTACCCAGGAGTGGATCGTTCGGTCTTAGTTACACGAACTTAAGTGCTGGTTGTGCGTGGCAAGTATATCTACATGCTTAGAGTGAGTGCAGGCGAGATCCTTGTTCATTCTAACTCAGAGGCGAGGAACTCTGAGGGCACGCCGCATTGAACTTTGCGTAGGCACTTTAAAGTCCGTGAGCAACGGCAGCTTCACGAGCGTGTTGCATGGCACGTATGTTTATTTAGATTCTGTGAGAGTACATATGAGCACCCCGTCCACTCTTACTCAGAGGCGAGCAACCCTGAAGACACGCTGCATTGAACTTTGCGTGAGCACTTGAGAGTCGGTATGCAATCCACAGCCTCAAGCGTGTTGCATAGTCGCCCAGAGTGGTGTTGATTTGGATATCATTATTACATGGAGGCGGAACATGTGAAGGCGCTGTGACGGAGTCACGAAAAGCGTGCCCAACTCGAGTATGCTCATGAGATTCACCACACCACACTCTCACAACACTCTCACAACACTCTCACAACACTCTCACAACACTCTCACAACACTCTCACAACACACTCACAACACTTTCACAATAGGTATCTCATCAATAGTTCAAAACTTTATTTAAACAAGAGAAGATAATCGTCCAATACATATGGACGGGTTAGTTGGGTAAGGCATGTAGAGGCCACCTGTACTCATCGATTAATGATATCACGGGCATTTATATGATTCGTCTAACCTATGAAAAAAGGGAAAGGAAGACAGTATATTAATACTAGGATAGTTGCCTAGTATACTGGTAGGCATCCGCACTCTCGGCGGCAACGCTTTTGACCACAGAGTTACGCGCGATTCAGGCCGAGAAGACTGTGGACAATAGAAAGTGTGTCAAAGACATAGGTAAGTTACCCACTACATATTGGATAAAACATATGCCCAAAATGATAGTAGCAGGTTTAGTTCAATAATTGAATAACGCCTCCTCTTGTACGAACTGCAACAAGGAGCTATAGCAAGAAGTTGTACCTAATACACCTTGACCATAACGATAATTTGGAATAAGCGCGACGGATGATAGCAGTTTTGTTTGATAGTGTAAATTTCTACCTACTTCAAATAATAAGTAAAACGTTTAGCGAAGACTGGTTGGCTACATTGAGCCTGGATGTCTCCCTCGCTAGTTTCCCAGGTGCAACTATCGTTGCACAGTATGTGCTCGTTCATTGTTTTGTATCGCCTGATTATGTATTTGTATCGCCTAGTGCACCAATATCAGTGTGTGTATTGCTCTGACATTCTCCAATAGTCTCAGCATTGCATAATCATACCATGTGTGAATTGTGTGATTAAAATACCATGCGTAACAATATCTTCTACCTCAATCTGTATTTCTGTTTCACCCATAGATGTGCGTACCCCTTCTGCAGGTGTATGTTAGGTGTAAATCTTCAAGTATATTCGTAACCGATAAACATCCCCGACCCGTGCTCATTTCTTCACCCATTCGCTACTCCTCGTTTGTTCCCCACAAATGCCAGTGATCGGGAAACGTTTGTATCTTGAGATTCCCAAGGATCATCGATGTGCGCTGAAGTACTGATTTTTCTGGTGACTTTAGTGGGAACTCGTACAATTGTGCTGCGTGGGTTTCACCATTGAGTGATGTGTGATACACTGTATCCCTGCATGTCTTTTGACAAGATGGCAATAGACACCCCGGTGTGTTCTGCAGTGGGTCCACGCCGCTCTATCGCACGCTTAGCTGTAATACTGATGATTTATCCGCCACACTCCTCCGTGGTGGACGATGTGCATGACAGAGAGTATACTGCTGACTTAATACGTACATGTATTGTTACTGGTGGAGGTGAATATGAGAATACAGATTTGTGAGAGGTGTCATGGGCGAGTGCTTGTGCCGCACACCTCGAGTTGGTTGTGTGCATCTGGCGTTTTGTGTGCTGGAATCGATAACTGTACATAGATTGTTTGTCCCCATGGTATCGCTTTGTGGTTGAATGTTTGCGATGACGATAGGTATCCTACTGCAAATTAATATTGACTTTTTTAAAGTTGTCCCGAGGAGGTACGAGCGTTGTGCACACCCAGACGTACACTGAGCATTGCCCGTCATGATGATGTACTCACGTGTAAAATTGCGGTTGTTCTATTTCCCTTCAACAACATACGTTACTTCAAATGCACGCACCCTTGCGCCACGTTGAATGTTCACTCCCTGCTTAATATTATGACGTACTTGGACCAAGTACATGTTCAAAATCTATTCGTATACGTGTGCCGTACGTTTTGTAGATGTACATGACCCTAATCCGCACTTTGCTTGTACTAAAACACTCATCAGAGCACCATGTTGAAATTTTTCATACCCATTCTGTCATACCAAATTTACCACTACAATTGGGGCTTTCACCCACACACCGCCTGTTATCAATATCGTATTGTATTTATTATAGGAGACCAAGTTCAGCCTGCGCGGCCGCAGCACCAGATCACATCTATACACAACCTACTCAACATGATCCCATCGTTGGGTAATTCAAACACACATATGCGGCTTTACCGATATCTCTAGCACCGCCAATCGCTGCAAACCAAGATCTTAAAAACATTGTACGCACAGGAATATTTACCTTTTGTTCTGCGCCCAATTTTCCAATTCCTGTGTTCATATTAAAAACAGGACCCGTTTGATACCTCTTGTCACGTTTTTGAGGCACAATTGACCAAAGAGCCTGTCCGCGCTCTCCTGCCAATCCCCCACTCACCTATCCTGCGCTTATGCATATATTACTATCTGGTTCCCATAATAGCATTTTCGCCTCAACACCCCCGTCCCCTCCTCAATATTTCGCTCACCTCTTCCTCCTGGCACGCTTATTACCTTTGGGCTTCTTAGCAGGCACATAGTCGTCATCGTCAACATCATCGCTGTCGGTGTGATCTTCCGCCGACTCATCAATCTCTTCTTTTTTATAGCTAGACTTGCCCTTGTTCGCGCTCTCCGGCTCTTCATAGTAGTCATCCTCAGACGAAGATACGAAGTCCGTTTCAGGCTCAGATTCCAACTCCGATCCCGATTCCGAATCAGCAGCCTTTCCTTTCCCTTTCCTTTTAGGCCCGGTTTTGGCCTTGGCGTTCGCAGTACGCTTGGGTGCCGCCTTCCGTTTCGTCGTACTTTGTGACGTAGCCTTTCTTTTCCTCGTGCTCTGTGGCTCAGCCTTAACCTTAGCCTTCGGTTTCGCCTTAGATTGCTTAGTCGCCCCTTCCTCTTCCTTAACCGCTCCACCCGTAGCAGCCTTGGCCTTAGCCATACGCACATCATAGGGTTCGGTCATGAGTTCCTTCGGGACTTCCCTAGTGCCCGCTGCGATCTCCCAGTCACTTCGACTCGCCTCCAATGCCAGAGAATTACCCCAGTAGCCACCGGAGAAGTTCTCAATCTTCACATCCGGTACGTCGTCCAGGTCACCTCCCTCTATCATATCCTTCAGGTCTGGCAGCCGCACCATCTTCACATTCGTCATTTTGCGAGCTTTGGTCACCTTGGAGAATCCCGGCTCTTTACCCACCACCAATATATCCGTTTTACCAGATAGAGAGCTGGTTACTCTCCCGCCAAAATCGGTGATAAGTTTCTTCATCTTTTCTTTACCCAGATTCAGCCCCGTGCCCCCACCCAATTCGGGGAACAAGCCTGTCACAACAACAGTCTTACCCGCAAGTATATTATCGATAGCTCCATCTTTCCCCGGCCTAGGGGCCACAAAGTACTGCTTCTCCTTATTGCCGACCCGTGCGACAGCTCGACTGTCCTCATCCGCTTCCTTCTGATCCTGAGTGCTCAGAGCCATACCCTCATCCACACTTCCATCGATATCCCCGGTACTGGCACTACTATCAGCCTCGGCACTTCCGATGGTTCTTGGTTTATCCTCAATCTCCCCGCCGGATCCCATCTCCGCTTTAGCTTGAGCCGCAGCCTGTCGGGCTTTGTTAGCCTTGGTAAGAGCCGCCCAATTATCCTGTACCATGATATACTCACAGAATTCACGCTTGCAATCCTCCGGTAGCTCATCCAGGCCCTGCAATAGCACCTCATTCATACTCAATACGGCGGTCGCAAACTTGGCCGGGTCCTTGCACACACCATGATCGGGTAAACCCAACCACACTCTCCCGGGCACACGCCAGCAGTGCAAGTGCACCCACCGCCCGTAAGACCCACTCACGGCATCCATGACCCCAACACGTACCTCATCTATTGGTATGAATGGGATAGTGCAGTGTTTGGCCTTTCCCTTTGCATTGCACTTACTACGGCCTGTTTTGGCGGTCTCCATACGGTAAGGCGGAACGACCTCCTCGGCTGCTTGGGCGTAAAATTCCCACGAAGGTGTTGGCATGTCCGCAAATTCTCGGTACATGTCATCGTATGCCTCGGTCTCATCATCCTCGAAGGCTTCGTCAGTAGACTCAGTGGTAGTTCTTGCCTTGCGTGCAGCCGGCTTTCTTTTCGTTTCCACCCCTAGGTAGTTGCTGAACGACTTCCTCACCCGGCCCTTCTCGTACATTTCACGCACCAACTCAAAGGATGCCTGTACATCCCGGAACACAGCAGCATCACCGCCTTTATCAGGGTGCGATCTCAACACGGTCTTGAAATAGGCCTTTTTAACCAGTTTAAACTCGTCTTCTAGCGAGTCGCACCTGTCGAAGGTGTCGGTGTCTGTGATATTGAATGCTGCCAGCGCAGACCTGACATTTTTGACGCCATTTCTACTAGCGCGGGTGCGCATGATGAATCAAGTGATTGCTTGCCTCTTCGCCTGAAATGATATGTCAATTATATAGAAATGGGACATGAATATAAGCCACAGCAAACGTAGAGTAGGTGATTACCATCTCCATGAGAGCGTCACGTAGGATTACTACTGCCAAGTAAGGTACGACCACAACAATTACGAACACCAGAGTAGCAACAACTAGTATATACCCGCTAAAGCTAATGACTTTAAAATGAGAATGAAGTACGGAAAAGGCGTTGGTAGTCGAGCTATTCGGAACAGGTTCTGATATTCATATGGACAACGTAAAAATAATATTGAGTTCAGTATCATCGACGAGCACCATAAGCGTCAGCAAATTTCAGGAGACAAAGTTTTATTGTGTCGGACAGCTTCTGATAGTAGCCAGAATAATTAGGTACCAGATATCGATCGCGTGACATAGCGACAACTTTAGCATGTGGAGCTAAATGTACGTAGTGAAAAACTCGGTGTGGGGAGAAAGCTATCAGCTATAGCGTGGATTAGGTCCTATACGTATTCACCTATATAATATAAAGTCTACAAGATACCTTGTGGCAGCAATGGCTCTCAATTGTTCTATGTATACGCAGGAGGATAAATATACACGCAGAAATATCTGGTTGGCACTGTGATGTGGCAGCCGGGCAAGTACAGTAGGTCGAGAAGCACAAATAACATGCAATCCCTGCAAATAAAAGGCACAGAACATAGACATAGCTCCAGTATGACTACAGACCGAATTATGCCCGATCTAGCTGTATACAACAGGTGTCTCTGACGCTGATGGGTGGCCATAGTATTCGCCTGTATGAAGAAACGAACACAACTATGTAGCTCGCGCAGGATTGAGACATGGACACTACACGTAGACGATGCACTGGGATCCCTCAGGATTATCCACTTGACTATCAGTTCACAATATGGCATGCGATACAACTACCACTCTAGCATATATATACACGAGACTCATATTGCAAACAGGGGTGAAGATGACATATCTATATATATATATATATATATATATATATATATATATATATATATATATATATATATATATATATATATATATATATATATATATATATATATATATATATATATATATATATAGTATATATATA